CACACACACACACACACACACACACACACACACACACCAGAAAACACACACATTGGGCCTCATGCAAGAATCGCATTCTTCTCCTAAATTTCTCTAACTTTTGTTCGTACAAAGGGTTCGTACGAACATGTCACGTCAGATTCAACAAACTCTTCTATCTTCAGGAAAAGTGTGTAAATGAGCTGCGTAAACTGATGAATGTGTATCAGGTGCTCGAGGAGAGGAGAGGAGATTAGCATAATTACCACCCTAAAAAACACCATATAAGGCTACGTTTCCTGCCCCACATACCAGGAAGTGTCCATTCATAAATAACATCGCAAAGTAAAAAAGAAGAACTTTATGAGTTCAGAGATTGAAGTCCTGCTGTCAGAGATCCAGAAGAACATGGGGTGTGACTCGAGTCGAAATATCTTCTAACTAGTGAAATATGAAGTTCTTAGTGAAGAAAATCTGTCTGGATAACAGCAGACTGACTGCTCGTAAAATATACGACAGGTCTGGACCACTTGTGAATTCTGTCCCTGATAGTTTGACATCAGGCAGCAGATGACCCACAGCTGATTGACTGAACCCACCATAGAAAGAGGAACAAGACCATCCCAGATATGATACTCCTCTATCCTTCGTATGGCCCTCTCTACTAAAATCCTGAGAGGAGCAATGGCCTGGGTCTTCTGGGTGTCCTCCATGCTGAGCTGAGTGGTTTTCTTTAATGGAGGGTTGATTAGTGTTACCCCCACCTCTAACAAAATCTTTTTACCATCTGAGCTGAAGTAATGTAAAGTTATTTCTATGTCTGAGATGAAGCCTGTGTGCAATTTGGATACAAATGTGATGATCCATTAGAGAGCAATGCCAATCAGACCTTTAAAGGTGGATTGATTTTTGTAGTTGGAAAAGGTTTGTAAGGTGAAGGAGGATGCTGTTTCACAGCAGATCTCAGTGCAGTCTATTATCGCGCTCACCTGAGGACAATATAGCTGGAACTGGTCAGGCATTGTGGCCTGAACTTGCTCCCTTGTAATCTAGAACCTGATAAAGGTACCTAGTCCACGTTAAGATGATGCAACTAACTGTAGACAAACTGACCTCGAGGATGGATGACAAGATTTTCTCCTGAAGTTCAGCTGCAACGTGACACAGAAACATAAACTCATCAAAGAGCAGAAGGTTTTGGTGAGGACTCTGTCTCTTCTGCTGTTCACTGTACCTTGGACCAGTACACAAGCCTTGAAGCAGAAGGGTAACTGAATCCCAAACCACAGTGAAGACCTCCTTTGAACTGAATCTTGTGTTGTAACGAAAGTCTTTATCTGCGATACAAAATGTGAAAACCAGAAGTGTCTGATTCTGAATGGTTAGCTGCTGGATTTCCATTTACAGCTCTTGAGTTCTCCTTACAGCCAGTCCAGTTTACCTGAGCCAGCCAGTCCAGTCCAGTTTACCTGAGAGAAAAGAACAAATACACATTAATAGACAACACTCGTCCATCTATACATGTTCAATGTCTTCATAAGCAGATGATGTTTGGGAGCTTGACAGATGTTCTTGACAATACACATATAAATATATAAAATTTACAATGTGGAATGTCTTCTGGGTCATGTTCATATCTTGTATTAGAACTTAAAGGGAACGGTTTTGCTGTAATAATACTTTATAATGGTGATGTCAGAGGTTTAGATTATTTAGGTGTTCATTAGGGCTGTGTATTGGCAAGAATTTGGTGATACGATACATATCATGACACAGGGGTCACGATACGATATATCTGGATATATTGCGATTTTTTTGTCCAAAAATTCTATCATATAAAAACCTTTTACTGGAAAAAAAAAAAAGAAAAACCAAAATTCATTGTCTCAGAAAATTCTAATATTACATAGACATACTTTTGATACATTTAGCTGTGTTCTGCTTTGTATGTRTTTTATTTTTATTTGTTTCATATTTCTTATTTCATACGTTTTCAATTATTAGTCTAAATTTGCCAATAAATAGTTTGAAAATATATTTTTTGCAGCTTTTAGTTTACGGCTGGCAGCAAAGTTGACGTTTTAAACCATAATAAAATATCAATACAGGGCTTTAGAATATTGATACAGTATTGGGAAATGAAATATCGTGATATTTCAGTGTATCGATATTTTCTTACACCGCTAGTGTTCATGGGTTAATTGTTATAAAATGCCAGGATTACAGTCCATCAAATATATGGGGTGAGGGACGTTGCAGCTGTGCTGCTGAATATATGGGGTGAGGGACGTTGCAGCTGCGCTGCTGATCAGCGCTATTTATAGAACATGAATGGACTCGCGGGAACCTGGTCGCACGCGGGGTCTGTGTTGGTGATTCTAAAGTAATTATTGATAAGGTAACAATGCTGTGGCCTCACCTGTCACGTTTTATTTTAAAGAAAGAAAAAGTAGTTTGCAAAGCTGTTGCATCAGTGCTACGTGGTTAAAAAAAGCAGAGTTTTCATTGCACGTCTAATCACACACACATACATGTATTTCTATCTTTGTGAGGATCACACACAGCGCTCAGCCTCGCTCTGTGCCGTCTTTTTCTCCCTCAAGTTTGGCAAGAGGTGGATATGGAGTGGGGCAAGAAATAGCTCTCGACTTGATCTGGCCTTATTTAAATAAAAATGACTACATGCCGTGAAATTCTTAGAGGGGCGGGCCATCTCGTTGCCGGGGGGTCGCCCCCCTTGAATAATGGTAGGGGAAACACTGGACAGAAACTGGAAGGTGGTTCTACAAGAGAGGAGCTTGATAACTGAAAGCTCTGCCTCCCATTCTACTTTTAGAAACTCCAGGAACCACAAGTAAACCTGCAGTCTGAGAGTGAAGTGCTGTGTTAGGAAAGTATAGAACAATAAAATGTTTAATATATGATGGAGCTTGGTTGTTAAGAGCTTTGTATGTTAGGAGTAATATTTTAAATTATATTCTGAATTTGACAGGGAGCCAGTGGAGAGAAGCTAAAACTGGAGAAATATGATCTCTCCTTCCAACTCTCATTAAAACTCTAGCAGCAGCATTTTGGATYAACTGAAGACTTCTTAAAGAGTGTTTTGGACCCAGATAATGAAGAATTACAGTAATCCAGTCTAGACATGATAAATGCATGAATCAGTTTTTCTGCATCATTTTTGGACAAAATGTTTCTAATTTTAGTGATATTACGCAGGTGGAAGAAGGCGGTCCTGGTAACATTTTTAATGTGGGGTTAAAAGACATGTGCTGATCAAAAATAACACCAAG